TTGCTGGTGCTGGTGCTGGTGGTTCGTCTTGGGTCTTGTCTTGGCTTCGGCTTGCCATGTGCCTTCGCCTTCGCCTTCACCCTTGCAGTAGCTTATGGCACGCTGATAATTGTGGAATCGTCATCGCGCAGCAGGCTGTTGTTGTTGTTGTTGCTTTGCTTTGTTTTTGTTTTTGTTGTATGTATTTTTTTTAACGCTTTATGGATCATTGATTGGGATCGTGGGCTTCGTGGGCCAAGCATTACGCTTTTCGTTTACATGATTATTCTTGATTGCCCATTGCGACGACCACTGCTCGGGCTTTGGGATCTGTTTGTTTGCGAGCTCTCTCTGCCTGTATGTGTGTGTGTGTGTATATATTTATTTTTTGTATTTCGAATTTTTTGACTTGGGTACGGCTTATGGCTCGGACTACTTCTACCATTTGTAGACAATTACCGGCTTGACTGGGCAAGAGGCAAAGCATTTTATGCGACGTGTGCGCGAAAGTCAGTTTCGAGTCGATGCTTTGCTGTTGTTGTGTTTGTTGTTGTTGCTATTGTTGTAGCGGTGGTTGTTGTTAGCACACGCTATAAATGCTGTTGTTATGGGCTATATGTGGCTGTCTGTGGCTCGTGGGGTGTTTGAGGCTTTTGTCACGTCACGAGTGATTTGAACTTTTTAGCACATATTTATATTTAGCACGGCCTTAAACTGTGATTCATTCACAATTCTCAATCATGCTTTGTGTATGTGTGTGCGTGTGTGTACGTTTGTATCATGTCTCCAATTCAACTATTTATAGCAATCATTGGCACACAGAGCTCCAATTTCACAACACTTAATTAGAAGTGGCGAACCGACGAAATCACATTCAATATGACAACACAAGTGGCGCATCATCAGCGTCGAGCACCAACAACAACAACAACAGCAGCAGCAGCAAACTGAAAATAAATAAATAAATAAATAAAGAAAGAAAAAAACAAACAACAAACGGGGCACAAGACAAATTAAGTTGGCGTTTTGTACGCATTTCAAATGAGCTACAGTTAACAAATGTTAACAGCCTCATCTTCATTTTGACCGTTGTGTTGTTGTTGTTGTTGTTGCAGTTGCGTTGGTCCGTTAAATGAGGCGCGAGCTCATCGCCGTCAAAAAGCTGCCTGCTCCGGAAATGGCTAATTGGACTGAGAGTGAGAAGTGTGTGATTGTTAGTGTTGTAAAACACGCGTATGTATATGCACAAAAGCATAGGGGTGTCGTAATTGGGCTCGATTACACGAGGGTTGCTTGCCTTGAGCGTCATTAAATCGAGTGAGTATTAGATCTGTCATGTGCTAACCCAATAACATTCAATTTAAATGATATTCATGATATTTAGATTCAATGAATTGCAGTTGATTTCCTTTACTGCTTCATATAATAAGAAATCGCTTAGAAACATTTTTATATCTTTTAAAAATTCTCAATTGAAGTCGATGCCAATTAATTTTTTATATTATATAGAAATCACTAAAAAATAAAAATAAAAAAAAAAAAAATAAAACAAAATTTATAAATCTATTACATTTATTTATTGAGAAACATTATAATAGTTATATAGTTAATCCATGATAATACGTATTATTTTAGCACATGAATCAATTTGTTCATTAAATTTCATATGAACCCCCAAACAAAATTTCTTAAGTCTTGAGTGACTTTTAGTATAATTAACATAAAATCTAAGAGAATATAACGATAGCCAAGCTCTTAACTAGTTATTGGAAACGTTCATTTTAATGTTCATAATTGTTTGAGATTACAATCAGCTAAATTACGGAAATGGATTCACAGCAATAATTCACATATGTGCTATGAAAGTACCCCCATTTTTACCGTTCTAAAAATATATGTTACTCTACTTTTAATTATATTTTATTTATTTATAAATATGATTAAATAATCCCAATAGGCAACATGTGCTTTATTTCAATACGGCCCAGTCCAAAGGTCTAATTCGAATTCGACATAACTCATACGCACCGTAAGCCAATGCAATTTCGCCATATGCCCAAGCGTAGCGCATTCCTCACAGTCGTTCAAAACCAACTTAAATACCCGCACCACACACCATACACCACATACTCGAACTCACACACACACACACACACACACACACACCAATTCTCGGCAAAAGCCCAACGAAGACCTCATTTCTCTCGCTTTGGTCGTTTTATTCAGCATTATCTGTGCTTTTTTTTTCATTTTTGTAAAACAATTTTTATTTTTTTATCGATGGCATACGCACGCGCGAATTTTAGTACCCCCGCTGCGCCGGCGACCAACTTTGGGGCAACAACAACAACAGCCACGAGAGCGTGCACAGGCACAAGCACAGGCACAGGCCCAAGCCCAGAGACCAAGCCGGGCAGCAACAACAACGACAGCAACAACAGCAACAACAACGCCAACAAAAACAACTATAGCGTGTTGTTGAATTAATTTATATCCAACAGTGCGCTTTCAACTTTATTGCGCCGCGAAAAGCAGCCACAGCCAGAGCCACAGCCACAGCCAGAGCCAGAGGCAGCAGCGTCAGCAATGTGTTCGCGTCGCCCCCTGGAGACCGGCCCGCACCGACAGCTCCATAACGCCGCCAGCAACCCACACAGAGACACAGGGGCAGCCCATCCATACCGACAAAAGGCACGGCGGCGCAGTGGGGGCATGCAATGGCACTCACAGATACTCGACAAGCCACACACACATGCGCAGTGCCAGACCGTGGGAAACAAACTCGTGCCAGTCGTTTCATTGCTGTCAAATAATATCTTGATGGGGATCAACTTGAAAAGATTGGTTGGGGCTGGCTCGTTGCCGCTGCCGTTGCCGTTGTTGTTGTTGTTGCTGTTGTTGCTGTTGTTATTGTTGTTGTTGCTGTTGCTGTTGCTGTTTGGCGAGTCGCTGCTGGCCGCTGTTTAGGATGCGGTCGATGCTTTTGTTTTTTTTTTTTTTTTTAGGTCTCTTTTTAGTCTTTTTAATACTTTACACATTTGTTCGTCATACCCCAACCGTTGAGTATCTTACGTGTGAGTGTATGTGTGTAGTTATAGCCATGGTCGTAGCTCAGCTTGGAAACCAGTTTGCCATCCGCCAAAGCGAGGCTGAGGCTGAGACTGAGGCTGACTCTTTGGCTGCTGCGTCAGCGTCTGCGGCTGCGGCTGCGGCTGCTGTAGATGCCAGCACATACTCGCTAAGATCACATAAAAGACCCGGCACGCCCCACCGAGCCGCCCCGACCCACCGCCTGACCCGGCGCAAGCGGCCACAACTTTCGGTCAGCTCATTCGTGAATGGCTGCTGTGGCTCGCTTTTATGATGCACTGTTTGCGCTCACACACATACACGCACACACACACAGACACACATACGAGCACTTGGCACGTTGCCCATTATCTTCAGACCGCTGGAGGCTTCAGTTGCTCAAGTGCATATATCATATTACCACAGGGCCTGGGACAAGACGCAACCGCCAACTGCACCCCCAAGAGCTGAGGCTGCCAATCCCCCTTGGAGGCGCAATTGACACATGCAGGCGCTCCAGCTCTCAACTCTTCTCCGTGATAAACAATGTCAGCATGTCTTAAAGCCATTTCACACATACACACACTCACACGCACTCGATCCATTAGCTGCGACGCTAGCATAAACAGAGACCCCTTTCAATCACCCCCCTGGCTGTTATCTAATGTCATTAAAAAATGAAAAAGTATCTCAAAGATATGCGCCTATTGCAACATTAATCCCAACAGCAATAGTCAGCGTGCTTCACACACACTTCTCCCCCACACTTCACTCACCCCTGCTTCGAGTACATCGCCAAGGAAAATAAAAATTAATTAAAATATCTATATGAACTCACAGGGGAGCGTCAGCGTCAAATAGGGGCGCATTTATATTGAAATCGAAGACAAGTGGCAGCCACATTTATTGCCGCAGGGTTCGAGTTCAAGTTCGAGTTGCAGCACAAACAAAATCCGTGTGGGAAAGTTGAAAATCGAAAATCGAAAACAAGTGATTTGAAATGCCCATACAAATAAAGCAGAACCGCAGGACGAATGTTGTGGCAATGCGTGGGAATGCTGGATTTAGTGTTTTTTTTTTTTTTTGGCTTGTATATTCCCTTTCCACTTGGGCACAGATATACCCTAAGGTATACAGCCTTTATGTTGATTGCCCATTAGGACAACAATTTGCACTCCTTTTAACCGTATGATGATCCCATGCACAAATATTGGGCCTCGTCTTCTGTGTCCTGGCTTCCTTCGAGTCGTGAGAAATTTTACGAAGGAACACCTGCCTGTTGTTATTCGTTTTGAAGCCAAAGCCACTTGAATACATTTCCTTCCAAATTTTTAGGGTACCAAAAAATTGTTTCCCACACTTCGTATGGCAGAACAGTTGCACTTTTTCTTCCCCTCTCTCTCTCTCTGTCTCCTACTATCCCTATCGATCTCTCTCTCTCTCGCTGTCCTTTTGTGAATCGGGGGTACATTTACGTTTCCTTAGCGAGTCTCGCGACTCTCGACTTCCTACACATACTGGAAAACAGGCTGGACTACCTGCGCTGCCCTTACCGGAGCCTCGGCTTCAAATTTCAGGTTCAGGTTCTCGCTCGCTCGCTCGCTCACCAGCTAACCGGCTAACCTGCTAACCATCTTATCTCTCTCGCCACGGTCGTTTTCAATGAGGGTGAGGTGCGTACCACGTACGCGTGTCTGTCAGAGGGTCTTTTAGCGTTTCCTTAACTGTGTGTCTTTCTCTCTCTCCCTCTCTCTCTCTTGTGCGCTCTCTCCCCTCGTCTGCGGCCACAGGAAATGCATTTTGTTTGGCTGCGCTGCCGCTGAGTGCGATGCGGTGCGGTGCAGAGCGGAGCGGAGCGTTCAGGCAGCTATAAAAGCGGTTGCCTTTCGGTTGGGAAATCATTCTGACATCGTCAGCGTTTCAAGCAACACACACAAACAGCACAAGAAACCTATTCGCTTTTCCATTTCAAATTCAAAAATGTGCCAACAAGTCAGCAGCAACGACAACAACAACAACAACAAAATGAAGACCAGCTACAGCCTTAAGCAGGTCTTGAAGACGTTCTTCAAGAAGCAGCAGAAGCAACGACAACAACATCAGCGCCGCCAGAACTCACTTGAATCACTCGAATCAGTGGACAATCTGCGCAACGCCGAGGTCGAGGAGGTCTACTATGCCGAAATCGATGAGAATGCCGCCAACGAGAAGCTGGCCCAGCTGGTGCAGGAGCAGGAGCTCGACAGCGAGGAGGACATCTATGTGCCCGTACGCTTTGCTCGCACCGAGGCCGGCACCTTCTTCTGGACGACCAATCTGCAGCCAGTTGCCAGCGTCGATGCCGATCTGCTGCAGCCCGCTTACTGCTACTCCAGCCAACAGCATCCGTTCATGCAGTACCAGGACCGTTGGGCCCAGGCTTAAGACTCGAAAGCCCACGTCCCGGCCTCAATTATCAACAAGCTTTAAATGCATGCAACATTGTGATAGCAACATCAGCAGCGACAGCGGCAGCGGCAGCAGCAGCGGCAGCATCGTACTTAATCTTAACTCAAATCAACTCAGCGATCCCAGCGCTTCCATTAGTTCTTAAGACATTGTGATAGAAAATGACAGCTTTAACACAGAGATGATGAAAACAAGAAAAGATATTTTACAAAATACAAGAAAAGATATAAAAACTGAAATTACACTTGGTTTCTAATTGGTTTCGGGTTTTGGATTTTGGGTTTGGCATTTCAGTTTTACGATCCAAACAGATCTTCAACATATTTTATGCACATCGTTCATATATCTCGAGCAGTGTTATGACGTCTGGCATTCCGCGCAATTGAGTAGCTGCCTCAACATGTTTACGATATGAGATTCTGCCTGTGCTCCGCTCGTAAAATATGTTTTGCTCCTCTACGTGACAGATAAGAGACGTATGTGTTTATACTTTTGGATGCGACACATTCTTTCTAGATWATTTTCGAAACAATTTGTTGTTGTTGACTTCAACGATATGTGGCGCCATACGACTTATCGATAGAGTTGAAGTTCTTATTTTGAAAGGTTTTTCCGATTTATTACTATTATTTTTTTTTTTTCGACAATGCATTTGAAAATGTAGCTAAAATTGATTAAAAGTAAACAACGGAGGCAATTAAAGTCAAGGCAGGTAATCTAAAATGGATGTATGCTATGAGGTTTTAAAATAGATAAAATATGAGCTTATCTTAAAACAAAATGCAATTCTGATATGTGGGATACTTAGAGTGGAATAGACGGTGGAGCAAAAGAAAATTTAGCTATTATTTAATTAATAGAATCATTAGAAATCATAAGCCTACATATGTCAAAGGCAACTTTAGGTAAAATATTTGAAGTGTTTTATTATAATATGAAGGCTTTGATTATTAAATATTTATTTTATTACAATTTATTTGATAATTTTCTATTACACTGAACTCATTCAAAATGGGAAATCAGGGAAAAAAAATTTGTTTCTTCGACTTTAGTTTAATGTAATATTTAGATATTTTTAATTATTATTTATTTTTTATATGAGTAATTATACTTAATAAAATTGGGTTTCAAATCGTGACCGATTCCTGTATGTTTATTATATAATATCCAACGACAAATAAAAATTCTATTAACACTAATCATAGCTAGTAAATTGAAAGATCATTATCTGCCACTTTCTCTCTCTCTCTCTCTCTCTCTCCCTTTGTCTATTTCTCTCCGAGTTCATGAACTTTCAATGAGATGTAGATCCAAGAAAATTCACTCAAGTACACTTTTCTTCCACTCTGTTATAAGTCGACCTTGCCTTGGGCAACCTTTGCAGAGTGTGTGCACATTTTATGGCTTGCATTCCATTGGGCTATTGGCTTGTTTGGCTGGCAGCCAATATGAAATGTTCCCACTCCGGCTGCAGTGTCATCATATTATTGCAGTTGTCACTTGCCTTGGCTAAGGCCACCGCCACCTGTGTGCCCAAATATGGCGATGGTGTGCATAACTTCACGGCAATTGCTTGCACGGGCTTGTCGCCGCGTGTCGTACAACTTATTTATGTGCTTTTCTAGAAAGAAGAAAAGAGTCAGTCGACAGGAGAAGGAACTGTAGCTGGTGCTGGTGCTGGTGCTGGTGCTTGTTGTGCTAAGGAAAAACCCATATCAAAAGCCACAATTAAAATGCAACATGTAGACGTCAACACCTTCCAGTCACGGGCCAGTCACAGTCGCGGCAGACACGCAAGACTCACATGCCAAGGCGTTTCGAGGCGGACGTTGAAATTGGGCATAAAAACAGTACCGCAAAAGATAATCGTTCTCATACACTCCCATCTCTCTCCCTCTCTGTCTCTCTATCTCTGTCGCTCTATCAATCACTAAAGCATTTCTCCTACACTAAAAATGCAAATTGCTGTCACACAAGAAAAATATAAAAAAAAAAAGTGGAAAAATTGAAAAAGAATCGGGGAATTGAATAAAATTCTGGTAGCGCCGTGACGTAAATTAAGTAGCTATATAAGTTTCTGTTAAATTGGCTGCGACAGCGCATAATTAATTTCGTATGCACGGCGGCAATGAATTGGAAGAAAGAACCATCATGGAATGCCGTTGCTGATGTTGATAATGCTTACGATGATTGCCACTGCTGCGATTGGGATCTGTGCTGCCCGACTGGCTACCTCTATTCATTTGCATTTACAAGCGAACGCTACATGGACCCACTTGCCTGTGTGTTGGTGTCGTATGCGCCGCTTTGTCTTGGCGAGTGGCGAGTGGCGAGTGGAGTACGCTGGGCAGGCCTGCACACGGGCACGGGCACAGGTGTACGGAGCCTGCCGAACTGCTGGGGTTTAATGTACGCCTCTGTGCCCAATTCTCAGCGACAACTCAGCGGCGGCCTTCGCGTGCGTGACCGGCATGCGCTTAGCGGTCATTGATTGGCCAACACCAACAGCAGCAACAACCGCCACAACAGCAACAGCAACCGCAGCGGCAGTTAAAACATTGTTGGCCAGTTCTTTGACCATGTCTATGCTCGACGAGCTGACTCTTGGCTAAGGGCGCCGCGAGCAACAAGTGTGTGAACACATTAAGCGGTGATTAGCCGACACAGAGTCATTATTGTTGTTGTTGTCGTCGTAGTTGYTGTTGTTGCCTAAGCACTTTGTGTGTGGCGATTGCTGCCACAAATTAGCCCGCTGCAATGTTACCATTAAAGTGATGAGGGACAATGTGGGCAGCCGGAATACACAAAATGTAGGCACATAAAGATCTAAGTGCTGAGGCAGAAGTTCGTTACACGAATAAATATGCATGCATGTAATATAAAAACAAAATAAGTCATTTAATATATGAATATACACAATATACAAAAATAAATATTTTTCAAATGATGCCTATAAATATACACATAACAAAATAAAACAAAAAACTTTT